AATGTTTTTTCATGTTTATAACATCTCGCCTAAGTATTTGATCGTGTCCAAAACATCTCGCCTAAGTATTTTATCGTGTCTAAAACATATCTCCCCAGTATTTTATAATGTCTAAAATATATCTCCCCAGTAATTTATAATGTCTAAAACATCTCGCCTAAGTATTTTATCGTGTCTAAAACATCTCGCCCCACTATTTTATCGTGTCTAAAACATCTCCCCAGTATTTTATAAAGTCTAAAACATCTCGCCCCACTATGTTATCGTGTCTAAAACATCTCGCCCCACTATTTTATCGTGTCTAAAACATCTCGCCCCACTATTTTATCGTGTCTAAAACATCTCCCCAGTATTTTATAATGTCTAAAACATCTCGTCTCACTATTTTATCGTGTCTAAAACATTTCGCCCCAGTATTTTATCGTGTCTAAAACATTTCGCCCCAGTATTTTATCGTGTCTAAACCACCTAGCCTCACCCTCCACCATTTAAATTGATTTGATTATGAAAGTTCGGTGACCTAGTTCTAGCCTCACCAGCGCCTAGTTATACACACTTTTTTTATGTAGCGAAGTGCAGGGATCCACCCCCCTCCCCCCTCGTGTGTAAGCCGATGGTTATCCCCCTGCCTGATCGGATATTATATTGATTTTGGCATGTAGGCACCGTCGGTCAGACAGACGGAAATCTGGCCGATACAAGACAGTAGTGTTTATTTGCAAACTGGCAAGTCAAGAAGAGCGTTCTGCAAATGTTTATTGTGGGTCGATCACTGGCTCGGAAGCCAGGGAAAAAAAATGTTTGAAAATTTAAATTTTTTGTTTACATCTAAAATGGCTGGTATTGTACGCTGGTGTATGCTTGACATTGGAAAAATTCTTGACAAAAGCTAATTATCGTGACGATTAATAATTTAGAAGCTAATTATGTTAAGTGGTTTTAATGCGGCCTGAATTTTTAGTGACGATGTGTGACAATGAGGGACAATTTGTGACAGTGTGGGTGTGGGTGTCTATTTATTCTTCTTTGTTCTTTATGGTAGTGTTGGACGTGATTTCATTCAATGTATCAACTTGTTATGTGTCATAAAGGCCGTTGACTCCAACTTCAGCCTGTTTTTTCTCTGGGTTTGCTTCCATAGTCTTCGTCCAACCAAGAGCAAACTACAAGGCAGCAGTTGTTTGATTTTGGAGTTTCTCTCCTATATGTACTGCTGTCATGTCATCTACCCGGGGGTGGGGGTTGACTTTACGTTTTAGCAACCATTTGCTTTACCTGCCCAACGATGCCGACGCCTGTATTTTTTGTGACGGTGTGTTACAATGTGTGACAATGTATGATGATATGTGACAATGTGTGAAAATGTGTGACAATGTGTGACTATGTGTGACAATATGTGACGATGTGTGACAATATGTGACGATGTGTGACGATGTGTGACGGTGTAAGGCAATGTGTGACGATGTATGAAGATGTTTGAAAATGTGTGACGATATGTGACAATGTTTGACAATGTGTTACAATGTGTGACGATGTGTGACTATGATTGACGATGTGTAACGATGTATGAAGATGTGTGACAATGTGAGTGAGTGTCAAATCCTACTGAAATCATGTGTAGTCATTTACCTTCCTTCCCCACTCCCCAGTTCCGTCGAAATCTCTAGAATAAATTATTGCTAATCAAGGTAACAAATTTATGGCATATTTAAAACAAAAGCTTTTTAAGTTAGTAGAATCGTAAATCTGTGTTAAAGTCCAGATGTATACACACTTTGCAGGCATGGAGAAAATAAACCTTTATTAGAGGTATTTTAACTGGAAATTTGTTAGCGAATAAAATTTTTTATACCTCCATCTGTAGTAAAATGAAAGAATCATGTCTTCCGGAGGGGGGGGGGGGGGACGACTATATAAATTTGATTTCGTTTTGATGGGAGGGGGTGGGCAAGGAGTGGACTTGGAAGTGCTTCATGGGTGTGGGGAAAAGGCGGGGGGGGGGGGGGGGTGTTGCATGAAAAAAAATCTGCTGTTTTTGGAAATAATGTCTGACATCAAAGTCTTCTATTTAACGAATAATTACGGAAATTTTGTTTATTCTAGCATTCCTGCATGAGCAATGATTTCCTATTTTTTTTTGTTTTGTTTTGATTGCGTGATTTTATTTACCTATAGCGTGTTAGTGCTAACAAAATTGTATCTGTGTGGTTTTAATGTTATGCATTTGGGATTATTTAAAATGGGGGGGGGGGGGGGGGAATTTGTTAGGGGAGATAATTGTTGGGGTAGGGAGAATATTTGGTAGAGGAAATGTTTTAGTAGGAGGGGAGATGATTTATCGTTAGGGAATATAACTTTGTATAGGGGTTTAATTAGTAAGCGAGGTAATTTAATAAGGAGCATCATTCAAACTGTTGTTTAAAATAAATCCCCCATAAAGTTTAAACAATACAATTATGAAACTGTTTTCGTTTTGAGTTTTATACATTAAAGGTGTAAAATTAAGCAGAAGCATTGCATTGTTGCATGGGCTGTCTAAAAACCTTCACGTAAACATCGTTAGAAAACGAGATGAAAGGCAACAAAAATGAACCACAGAAATGAATGACATTTCTATGCACAATTTTTTTTAAAGTTTGAACTCTTGTATTTTAAGGTCTAAGAAAACAAATTTTTTGTTTTAAATTTAAAAACTAGTATCTGATTGGGAAGAATTGAGAATTACGAATTTAAAAAAATATTCTAGACTAACAGTTATCTCCGTTGTAAAATTGGTATTTATATGTGTGGGTGTTTGGGGGTGGGGGTGGGGGAACTCAATTTTTGCTAAATTTCGGTACCTTATTTATTGTTCAAAGAGGTTATTCAACGTAGATTTTTCTATGCTTTATAAATTTAAATAAATCTTCTATATGATTTCTCGCCAAAATAAGTTTAAAAACCTGTTTAGAGTAATTCTAAATGTGTTTTTTTGTTGTTGTTGATCCTGTCTCGGGTAACATGTGCAGGTGAATGGTCAGGTAATCTTCGGCAAACTCAGGTAACTGTCTGGCATTCAGACGTGAGCAGGTGAAACATAAATTGAACTCTGGCTCGTCTTAATGTACGGGACATTGACTCGTACAAAACTGGACAGGTCATCTTAATGTACGGGACATTGACTCGTACAAAACTGGACAGGTCATCTTAAGTACCCCTTCCAAACCTGACGGTCTATCGGGCAAGTGAATTGCCTGTTTCTGTGTCCTCGGTATATGAAGGGATAGTGTGGTCAGCACTATGCCCAGCCGCCTTTACTTTCCATAACGTGAGTTAGGTACCCATCAGAGCTGGGTGGACTCAGTGATGGTCTAATGACTAAAACCCGGATTCGAACTCGAGCCATACGGGTTAGCAGTCTAATTCTCTACGGCTCTACATCTCATGTACGGTAATTTATCTAGTAAAAAATCAGGACGAGTCATGCAAGGAACATTACCTCGTACAAAAACTGAGCGGGTCATCTTAATGTATGCTGTTTTATCTTATTAAAAAACCTAACTTATTTATCTTAATGTATAGTAGATACATAGCAGCGCTGTGTTTAGTGCCAACAATCGATATATTTCTACTTGAGCTTAAGAGCATTCTGACATCACTAGACATTATACAGATGTATGTAATAGGCCCACAGGAGACTGTGTGTGTTCTTCTTCCTGTCTGTGTTGTAGCTTGATGCTAGCGAGGTCAGAATCAAGCGCCTTCTGGTGGAATCTACTGATGGTGTTTAAAACCCACTGGTCGGAGACAGAAACAAAACATGCCAATAGGAGTTCTCACAACGAGAGGACCATGTTAGGTCTAGAAGTCCAGAGTGGCATCCTCACGGCAGTCCTGATTGTGTTACTGGCGCAGGTCTTTGTTGTGTGTTTAGGACTATGAGGGCTGGCGACGGTCCTGGTTGTATGTTTATGGACTATGAGTCCTGGCGACGGTTCTGATTGTGTTTATGGACCATGAGGCCTGGCGACGGTCCTGATTGTGTGTTTATGGACTATGAGTCCTGGCGACGGTTCTGATTGTGTTTATGGACCATGAGGCCTGGCGACGGTCCTGATTGTGTGTTTATGGACTAAGAGTCCTGGCGACGGTCCTGATTGTGTTACTGGCGCAGGTCTTAGTTGTGTGTTTATGGACAATTGAGGCCTGGCGACGTCCTGATTGTGTGTTTGTGGACTATGAGTCCTGGCGACGGTCCTGATTGTGTTACTGGCGCAGGTCTTAGTTGTGTGTTTATGGACTATTGAGGCCTGGCGACGTCCTGATTGTGTGTTTGTGGACTAGGAGGCCTGGCGACGGTCCTGATAGTGTGTTTATGGACTATTGAGGCCTGGCGACGGTCCTGATAGTGTGTTTATGGACTATTGAGGGCTGGCGACGGTCCTGCTTGTGTGTTTATGGACTATGAGGCCTGGCGACGGTCCTGATTGTGTTACTGGCGCAGGTCTTAAATATGTTTATGGACCATGAGTCCTGGTGACGGTCCTGATTGTGTTTTTATGGACCATGAGGCCTGGTGACGGTCCTGATTGTGTGTTTATGGACCATGCCATTACGGATTGGTTCATAGATTAAAGTTGTTTGTGGTTGTCAATGAAAAAGTCATCGAAAGCAGGAAACAGTACGTCAGAAACAAACCCAATAAATCTTTTGCAAAATCAATAAGTAAAGTTTCTTTATAAATAAATTGATGAAAATGAATGTCATTCGTGTGTGGTATAAGATTCTCCTCTTCTACCACGCCATCTGTGTGTGGTATAACATCCTCTTCTACTACCACGCCATCTGCAAGTTGCCACGTTGACTTGATGTTGTGGATGCTGCTGTCTACTAACCCCTGCACTCATTAACCTCTGTGGCCTGTTGATGAACCCACCTTTCACCACCCTCCTGCACCTCCTGCACCTCCCGGCCCACGCCTCTGCCTCCATGACGTATTTCTCTGCTCTCTCTGTCTTCAGGAGCCCCTCCCAACCCTCCCGGCCATGCAGTGGTTCTGCAGCCTCTGACGACCCTGCCGTAACGTCTTCAGCCTTCCTCCCCAAGGGAGTTCAGCTAAAGCTAAAGGCCAGAGGTGGTGGCGGGGGCGGGCCGGCGGAGATGTGAGGCCGCCCCCATGCCGGCTGTCTTGAATCAGGTGATGGAGACGAGCTACGGCCCCACGGCGGCCTCGCTGCCCATGCCCGGGCAGGAACTGCTGGACAATGGCAAGGTGAGCGGGCAGACGGACAAGGCAGACGGACAGAGGGCAGACGGACAAAACGACAGTACCCTAGTCACCTGTATGTCTACCTGCACTACGTCACTGCCTTTTCAGTGACGTCAAACACTTCCTGTGACGCCATCAAATATATCCTGTTTACTCTGTGATGCCAATCTCACACTCACCTATATGACGTCACAATCTACTTTATTATGCCGATTAGTGGCACACTCACCTATATGACGTCACAATCTACTTTATTATGCCGATTAATGGCCGATTTTTCGTTTGTTTGTAGTTTAAAGTCACAAACGGCTCCTATCTACTTTACGTTACTACTGTAAACATAAATTTATTTTCTTGACTGTTTCCAATTAGCATTATGTTAAAAGAAATTAAATTTAGAAAAAGTACACAACCTCAAGTAAATAGCTAATGAAATTTCAATAGGAATATTTGCCTTCTGAATCAACACAGAAGTATTTTGAAGCGTCCGAAGAAAAGGAATTGTGAATTGAATCTTTCAATTATCTTATAGATCTACGGGTCTAGTATTATCCCCCTATCTTTTAGGGTCTAGTGATATTTTCCTTGTTGGTAAACAACGTGCTACAAAAGCCGTGTGAGCAGTTGGTGGGTTAGAACTGAGGGAGAGCAGAGTCAGTTGTGTTGGATGGACGTGTGTCTGAATCTAGGTGTTGACAATGTGGTCGAGGCTAACCTACACGCCACTAAAGATAGTGGACCTTACAAGAACTCGAGCTGTGTGCTAGTCTACACACCACTAATGGTCACTGTCAAACAGGACTTGTATGAAAGTGTGTAACAAACATCACGCCACTAATGATCACAGTCAAACAGGACTTGTATGAAAGTGTGTAACAAACATCACGCCACTAATGAACACAGTCAAACAGGACTTGTATGAAAGTGTGTAACAAACATCAAGCCATTAATGAACACATTAAAACAGGACTTGTATGAAAGTGTGTAACAAACATCACGCCACTAATGATCACAAACAGGACTTGTATGAAAGTGTGTAACAAACATCACGCCAAAATTTCGAATCTCCACTACCGAGGATACTGTGTTAAAAATCTAATCAATGTCTGGGTAGGTGATATTAAACAAACATCCCGTAGCACCATAAGAAGGTTCCAGAAATAATATCCACATATACATTTTTTATATTAACCAACAAAGTATTTCCCCTTAAAGGCTAGACGCTATAGCTAAGGGTGGGTAGATGATGGATTTCATTTTCAACCCTCGCCAAACATATAAAGAGGATAATTGGAGATAAGGGGAAGTGGGGCAGGATTTTTAAAAACATTAATTACTACCTCGTTGATGGGTTTGACATTTAACCTTTAATATTGGTCTTCGGAAGCGAATTTTTTTTTCTTTCCGGAAAATGTCGGTTAGTAGGAGAGTGGTACCAGATTTTTTTTCACGGCTTAGGGTGTTTATTATTTTTATCGTCTTGTCGGTGGATTTTCCGAGGTTTTAGTTTAGATGTTGCCAGGTTTAGCAAGTGGCAGACTTCAACGCCAAGCCCATACACCGCGTGTACACAACTACACCGGTAAGAATTATGTTGCAGTTTTGCACCTGAGGGATTGTGTTATAAGCATTGAAGATTTATTTGTCTTACAATTACGGTCAAACACAGACCAAACACAGACCAAACACAGACCAAACACAGACCAAACACAGACCAAACACAGACCAAACACAGACCAAACACAGACCAAACACAGACCAAACACAGACCAAACACAGACCAAACACAGACCAAACACAGACCAAACACAGACCAAACACAGACCAAACACAGACCAAACACAGACCAACTGGCACAAATTGTCTTGTGGAATTGCCAAGAAAGTTACCAGAGGCCGGGGACAAGCGAAACACCCAAATGTCTACCACTATACTCAAGGTCAAGGAAGTTGACCACCTTATATTGAAGCTAGTGTGCCCAGCCCCCTTCCAGAGAAAAATATCCGAAATAAATAATGCATCACATCCCCCCCCCCCTCACACACACATACACACACCACTTTATAATAGGGTTTATAAGTCTACGGTCTCGAAATCTACTAGCTGGCAAGTACGTGAACGAGAAGTTGTGACCTACTTACAAGCCCTATTCTAACTCCTTTAATCATTGTTTTTTTCTGCAGATTTTTCTGCTTTCCAAATCTGTATCATCCCCTAAATGGTGTCACCCCCTTAATGGTGTCCCGTCTAAATGGTGTCCAGTCTAAATGGTGTCAACTTTGCTTCCACTTTGTGAAGATACTGTCGACAACAACTGATATTTATTCTGTCATTGTATACCAAAGGCCTTTTTAAATAATGCACTTCACGAAAATAATTTACAAACTAGACTGAATCAATAAAACTATATTATTAGCCCGTTACGCACGGCTTGACCCTGTTTTGCTAGTACACTAACGTTGTCTTATGTTTAAAGATAATTTATTGTTTCCTTTACACCGGAAGTTGCCATACTTAAACTGTGCACAACTTTTGTTTCTTTTTCTTTCTTCCTCTCACTTCCTTTCTCCCTACTCCATTCTCTCTATCTCAACCCACTGAAGAATAATTCCCTTTGTCCCACCCACTTGAAGCCTAACATGAACACAAATCTGCAAGACTGCCCTCGTCAAGCGAGTTCACCCGAACATTAAGTGTCTGTAAAAAAATGTGTGTGGGGGGAAGCTGTGGGGGGGGGGGGGGGGGGGGGAGAGAACACGGATACACTTGCTGGTAATTTGTCCTAGTTTAAAATTGCTAATGTAATTAACGTATAGTAAAAACCACTACACGACAAGAAAAACGAGGTGGGGTTTAATTAGTGGAAGCTAAAGCATAATGAAAACACTTCAGTTTTTTTTTTTCTTTGCCGTCTGCTCCTGTATATTTCCCACCTGCCTTAACGAAAGGTCACTTCCGGTTTGTCTTACCATTATGCATTGTTCCGTGAAGGTAGAGGTCAGGTGGTTAAGTCTCTAGTTGTAATTATCAGTGTTTCTTTCAGAGTTTTTTCTCCGGGGGAGAGGGTGCACTTGAAATTTTCGCGGATGGGGGCGGACTAAATTATCTCTGGAGGGGGGGGGGGACGACACTAGTAAAAGTATAAATTTTCTATATTAGTTCTATTTCGATGGGGGGGGGGGGGGGGGGCGGTAGACGAAGAGATGCATGAAAGAAACTCTGGTCTTTATGCGATGCGTCATCTTTAGTTATATTTCTAATATATCAGTTTCAATAACTTAAAAGTACACAAATATTTAATTCTTAAACTATTTTTGGCGTGGTGTACTTCATTTTCTCTACCCCCTCCACCAAGCGCGTCACTCCATCCCCACCCCCACCCCTATAAACAAGCAAAGTCTCCATTGCTCGTGACGTCAAACAAAGTTTACATTATCGTGACGTCAAAGTCTCAGATTGTCGTGACGTCAAGCGAGGTATACATTTCTCGAGATGTCCAACAAACCAACGCTATCGCTCCCCCCCCCCCCCCCACAGATATCCTAACTAGGAGTCGCCTGTAAAATAATGATGTTAATTACACAGATGTATGTTAGCACTGGGTCGCTGGACTGTCCAGAAATACAAAAATAGAATCGCCAATTTAACTTTCTTTTGCATTTTTTTTCTAGTACGTATAAAAATTACCCGCGGGGGTAGATCTAGACAGTTTTGTATCGAAATGTGTTTTTGTCTGGCAATATCGCTGTAAGGGTTAACGTATGTGCTTTAATCAGCAGCAAGATTAGTACTAGGGTAAGGGCTAGGTTTAGGACTAAACCTAGAGTTAAGGCTAATGGAATTAATTGTACGATACCATCCAGAAAATAAATACATTGATTGCTTCAAGCTGACCTTAACTTCAATTGTAGCTTTAAAACTTGTACATCACGACAACTTATTTTCTTCTATTTGAATAAATTGCTGTACTGGAAACTACTTTTGTGGGAACAAAAAAACAACATTCGACGTTTGTAGTTCTAATGTCCTGCTCACCATGACTGTCTGAGGCTGATGGATTGTATTGGGTGAAAATTGATGCAAAGCCAAGATGGTCATCTCACGGCCAGGTGCATAAATAAATCCATCGGATCCCATTTTGTTCCTTTCACGACCATCTACAAAATAAAAATATATCCTAACCCATAATCCATATTTTCCTGCACGCCAATATACTAAAAAACACGCCCCCCCCCCAATCCCATAACCCACGTTTTCCTTTCATGGCCATCTAGGGAATAAAAATCTATCCTATCGCATAATCCATATTTTTCATGCACGCCAATATACTAAACCCCCCACCCCCCAATCCCATAACCCACGTTTTCCTTTCATGGCCATCTAGGGAATAAAAATCTATCCTATCGCATAATCCATATTTTTCCTGCACGCCAATATACTAAACCCCCCACCCCCCAATCCCATAACCCACGTTTTCCTTTCATGGCCATCTAGGGAATAAAAATCTATCCTATCGCATAATCCATATTTTTCCTGCACGCCAATATACTAAACCCCCCACCCCCCAATCCCATAACCCACGTTTTCCTTTCATGGCCATCTAGGGAATAAAAATCTATCCTATCGCATAATCCATATTTTTCCTGCAAATGTCTACAGAAACAACCCAGGATACCCCATAATGGATACCCCATAATCTATGCTTTCCCTACACGGATAAAATCCATTCCTATCCCATAATCCATGTATTCCCCTCACGATAATCTACTAAAACTAAATCCATGCTAATTTATAACAGATGCGAGTACTAATTTTAATCAAGTCCAATTGACCCTACTATCTCATTTAACCAGCACAGCAGCACAATGTACACAGTCATACAAATAAACACTAGTTTAGCGTGTATCATAACTCCCGTGTCTCGCGAAACTAGGCAGGGATGCTAACAAAATGGCTGCCTCACAATGGATCTTACACACCGCAGCGCGGAATCCACGGGGGACCACTTGATGTAGATGTAATGATCTTCATTCAAGCCATGTTTTATATATGCCAATTATCTACACATATATTACTCATCGACGATAGTGTTAATGGTGGACAAGTTAAGAATCACTTTATAAGCGGCAACCGCTTTAAAAACAATTATGTAAATTACGGTAAATTCTCATAGATCTCATTGTAAGTAAAGACAATTTAATTTTTGTTCTTCATTTAAAGAATAGACACGTGTGTATATATTGTTTAATGTACCAGAAAATAAAAATCGTACATCATTAGCAGTTCGGTTACCTCTTCTATTGAACTTTGGTCGGAGCCTAATTTTTTTTTTGTCGACTAGTATTCGCTGTATAACTGAAAGTTTGTGCGGAGTTTTAAAAACAATTCATTAAGCTTGGTTGTCGATCATCATTAAAAACATTACACACAAAAAAACCTCAACAACAACAATGGCCAAATACGCTTTGAAGAAGAAAGTTCAGTGGGAGGCGGAGAAGGTAGGGAATCATCTCGATCATTAGCTACCTGTAGAGGCAGGTGTAAACACTTTGGTGAGTTGTGTTCAGGTTGACGTGAACACACGTTGGCCGGGTCAATCGACGAGGCAATCAGAAAGTGTTCACGTCCATTCGATTAACACGTCGCTCTACACCAGGTGTTAATTGTGTGCCATTTGTGTGTGTGTGTCATTTCAGACTTAATCGACGCACCTGTTGGTGGGCTTAAAATAGTTCACACACATACTACATACCTGTATATGTATGCCTATATATGTATGGCTATATACATTTTTGCCTATATATATGTATATGGCAATATCCATATCACTAAATCCATATCACTAAATCTATATTCCTAAATCTATATAAATATATCTATACGACTCTCTCTATATGCATTTACCTCTAAATATTTTCCCTATATATATATATATATATATATATATATATATATATATATATATATATATATATATATATATATATATATATACATTATATGCCCCTCTCTCTATATATATATACATACATATATACACACTCACATATATACCTAAACTCACACACGTAAATACGTATATTAAGAAAAATATACAAGTAGGCTACACATTTATCTAGAGATATACACGTGTAAAAATGTTTGCCCTATATTTCTTTAAACAGTATTTTAACAAGTCACACGATTCGATTAAATTTACAATTTTTAAATAAATTATCTCAAATTACCTTCCTCGCACACATTTCAAGGCTACGCGGCAATAAATATGTATAAAACCAAGAACGGTTATACAATAGCAACCAGAGTAGCTGCCCCTGGCAAGGTTTGCGAGACGTGTAATTTCCCCACAAGGCCTACACACAGAAACTTTGTTTTATTGCCTTGCGATGTACTCACTACTTGCAGGGCGAAAGGGGAGGGTTTCGTAACTGAGCCGCATATTAATGTATGTTTATGTACGTCGGTAAACAAAAATATGGAATGTTTACTTTTCAGCTTCCCCAAACAAATCCCGTGGACTATCCCAAACTTTTGGGAAAACTTTCCTTTTAAATTTTTTTTTAAAACCCCAAGACGACGTGTCTTTAAGCACATAAATTACACGTGGAGCTTCAGCCACATTGACTTAGCAAATTAGCAATTACATGTTTGTGTTTTATTGGTCCAATGAGCCCCGTATATGTCTTTCGTTGTGAGAAGCCGGCAGTGTCTTCGGATAACGTTAGTGTAGACATTTTCTGTGACTACAAGATGGCCGAAACTAGCACCGATGTGTTCTACACCAAAAGTTCTCTGCATATATTCGACACGGTAAATATTTCAAAGTTAAAAAGATTATTTTAAAAATATCGAATTTTTTGTGTGTGCCTAAAATGACGTCAGTGCTACTAGTTAAAGTATAACTTTTCTTTAAATTTGTGTTTACTTTAAGAACCTACAATAAGAATTAAGTACCACAGTTTCTCAAGACGTGCTGTACATTTTTATCTATCACATATTTACCAGGAGTTTCATGTAGGGTCGTTGACAGCTACAAACAATATTGTTAACAAGGATAATTGGGTTTTTAAAAAAAAAAGTCAACTACAAATTAATAAAAAACAGTGAGCGAAATGGGCGTTTAAATAAACAAACGAATCAAAACACAAGAAAAAAATCGTCCCCTGAAGCTTGCTGAATTTATTTAACTGTGTGCAGTGTGTGTGATGAGTGTGTTTGTAATGTGTGATTTGTGTGTGTGTTTTTGTATAGTGTGTGTGGTGTGTGTGTTTGTAATGAGTGTGTGTTGTGTGGGTATGTGGTGTGCTACTCTTGCCTCACCAACAAGCGGTTTATTCTAAGCTTAATTGAAATGTTCGACCTTCCCTGCCTGGTTGTTATAGGGATTTTATAGGGATCTCTAAGTTAGAGTCGAACTGTTAGATTGGGGGAAGAAATGCTGGTTGTTATTGGGATTTTATAGAGATCTCTAAGTTAGAGTCGAACTGTTAGATTGGGGGAAGAAATGCTGGTTGTTATAGGGATTTTATAGGGATCTCTAAGTTAGAGTCGAACTGTTAGATTGGGGGAAGAAATGCTGGTTGTTATAGGGATTTTATAGGGATCTCTAAGTTTGAATCTGTTAGATTGGGGGAAGAAATGCTGGTTGTTATAGGGATTTTATAGGGATCTCTAAGTAAGAGTCTAACTGTTAGATTGGGGGAAGAAATGCTGGTCGTTATAGGGATTTTATAGGGATCTCTAAGTAAGAGTCTAACTGTTAGATTGGGGGAAGAAATGCTGGTTGTTATAGGGATTTTATAGGGATCTCTAAGTTTGAATCTGTTAGATTGGGGGAAGAAATGCTGGTTGTTATAGGGATTTTATAGGGATCTCTAAGTTAGAGTCTGTTAGATTCTCTGTATGAATCCTACACTAATGTTGATTGACGTTTCAGTTACTTTAGGATCTTGAGCCTCATCGATTGCTTCCCCTGGTTTGTTTACTCGCTGTTGTGTATAATCCTGCCCCACCCCCTTAAATCATCTCACCCCCCCCCCCAACTACCCTCCACCGACTTCTATCAAGGACTTAATATAATACAATATATTTATTTCAAATCCCAGCATTAAAGTAGCATTAGCCGCTATCATCGTTACATCAGTACAAAATACGATCTCCATCTATGACTAAATAAAAAACCGCTGAGATCGTATCAGTGAAAGAAGAAAGAAAGAGAAGGAAAGATTAGATCTATGCAAATGGAAATGATTTATTATACTTATATTTGACGAGCAGGGCGAGTAGTCTTGAATAGAGAGGCGTACGAGTGCCTGGGTTTTGTTGACGTTCCAATTGTGGGCAGGAGTCTACTGGACAAAAGGTTGATAGATCCAAGTGTGCCGTCTGCTCTGGACGTGCTGCCTGAAGACAATGTGAGCTCGAGTTCAGGAGTGGCCAGATTTTTTTTCTGTGATTTGCCAAATTGGAAATGATTGAACTATAATGTAAAATGTACTTACGTTACGTGATTTTGACATGTTTTCAGATTAGTTTTTTTACTTGGTTTTATAAAACTGAGCTGCAGTTTAAAAAAAAACAACACCGCTTATTTCATGGATTTATTATATCTGTATATTTTTAATGATTTTTTTCAGTCGACTATTGGATGTTGTCAAGCATTAGGATACGTATTGTGAAACTTGTGTGTACACTTACCGCAACCCTCTAATCTTAACTATAATACTAACCCTGATCCGGTTGGACATTTTTTTTATGCTTGAAAACAAAACAATGGGACTTTGCCATCTGCTGTTTATGCAGCAAGGTATTTTAAGGGGCCTCAAAATATGTGTATGGCTATGTAGATAAAAATGTGTGAAAATGTGTGAAACAATACTCAATACCAACACTTCTAATAAACTGTGATCTTGGCAATTAACTGGTTTTAATCCTACCCCACCAGCCAGTGACCTAATACCCCCGTCACACCAGCCAGTGACCTAATACCCCCGCCCTAATCCTATCCCCCCACACCCCACCAGCCAGTGACCTCTGACCTCTTCTTCTCGTCCCCAGGTTGTGGACACCTCGCGACGTCTCTCACAGGACTCGTTTATGGAGTACGCCCAACGCCACGTGCGTACGACCAACAGCAACAGCACCCAGGGGGGCGCGGCGGGGGCCAGCCGGCGATGCGCCACCAACTTCAGCAAGCGGATGCGGAGACGGCTCGTCTACAAGAACGGGGAGGTCAACATCACTCAGACCAACATCCGCAAGCGGCGCCGGCGCTACCTGGCCGATATTTTCACAACTCTCGTGGATATTAAGTGGAGGTACAACCTCATGCTCTTCGCCATGGCCTTCACCCTCAGCTGGCTGATATTCGCCCTCATCTGGTGGCTCGTCTGTTTCTCCCACGGTGATCTCGACCACCTCGACAAAACCGACTGGAAGCCGTGCGTCAAAGAAATCAAATCCTTCACTTCCGCTCTTCTGTTTTCTATAGAAACCCAGCACACGATAGGCTACGGTCACCGACACACGACCGAAGAGTGCCCGGAAGCCATCGTCCTGATGATGTTCCAATCGTGTTTCGGCGTCATCTGCCAGGCGCTCATGACCGGGATTGTGTTTGCTAAACTGTCGCGGCCGAAGAAGCGCGCGGAGACGCTGATGTTCAGCAAGAGCGCGTGTATCTGCAAGCAGGACGGTGATCTGTGTCTGCTGCTTCGTGTTGGAGACATGCGGAAGTCCCAGATCGTCGAGGCTCACATCAGAGCGGTGCTGATCAAGAAGAAGATAACGAAAGAAGGCGACGTCCTGCCGTTGTACCAGTTCGATGTTGATCTTGGATTCGGAGAAGGCAGGGACAGACTTTTTCTAGTGTGGCCGGTCATCATCGTTCACAAAATCGACGAGGACAGCCCGTTTTGGGAGCTGTCGCCCGAGGACTTACACCGAGAGCAGTTCGAGTTGATTGTTATTCTCGAAGGCATCGTAGAAAGCACGGGGATGACGACCCAGGCTCGGAGCTCCTACCTCCCCGGGGAGGTTCTATGGGGGCACCGCTTCGAAAGACTTGTTACATTCCAAAAAGAAAACGGCCAGTACCAGATCGATTTTTCCCGATTCCACAACACGATACCTGTGGACACGCCCACCTGCAGTGCTAAAGAGCTGGCGGAGATGACGGCCGCCGGGCAGACCCCGGAGCAGACTTTCTGCGGCTCCAGACCGGCGGATGACGACGATGACGAGGAGGACGACGAAGAAGAAGAGAACACGTCCCTCGCCTCCAAATCTGACAGGTACCTGAAGCAGAACGGCCACCACGTGATCAGAAAACACGGGGCCGCGCAAACTGAATTCTTTGGTGATGATTTTCATTGGTTAGCTAGAAAACATAGCCCGAGCAACGGCTCGCCTGATCTGTCAGAAACGTTGCTCTGACAGAGAGTAGGAGAAAGGTAAGAAGGGAAGGTCTCACAGCCGGCTGTCGCGTCACGAACTCACGCGTCACGGGCTGTCGTGTCACGGACTCACGAGTCACGGGGAGGCGCGTCACGTGTGGTCGCGTCACGGGCTGTCGCGTTAGGGGCTTTTGCGTCACGATTCTAGCATCACAGTATCTCGCGTCACGTGTGGTTGCGTCACGGGCTGTCGCGTCATGGACTCACGGGCTGTCGTGTCACGCACTAACGGGTCACGGGCTGTCACGTGCGGTCACGTTAAGGGCTCTTGTGCAACGGGCTCTCGCGTTACGGGCTGTCACGTTAGGGGCTTTTGCGTCACGATTCTAGAACCACAGGCTCTCGCATCACAGGCTGTGGCGTAACGGGATCGCTATGATCTTTGTTGCGAGACAATTTTGCGAGTGATAAATTGCGGTACCGCGATATAGACGAAACTCTCAGTTGAAATGGTACAACAATACCGTGAAAGAGGTAAAACTAACGCAAGATGTGCTTTACAATAGCCGCGATCAGGGTAGAACTATCGCGATGTGAGTACTACAATACCGCGATTGAGGTAAACCTATTGCGAAATATGTATTAGATACCAGGTTAAGGGTAGAACTATCGCGATTTGAGTACTACAATACCGCGAGATATGTATTACAATACCGCGATTCAGGTAAAACTATCGCGAGATATGTACAACAATACCGCGATATACGTAGAACCATGGCGAGATATAAATTACGATACCGCGATATGGGTAAAACTATCGCGAGATGTTTATCACAATACCGCGATCTGCCAGAGCGATCCGAGATTCAGCATTGAGCGGATAAAACACCGTGATCCCAGCTCGCAGTAAATAATATCACGAGCCGCAGAAGCTTTTTTTTTATTGAGTCCAACCTTCATGTTGACTTGATCTGTCTGGTGACCTTGACCTTCACCCTACTTAATTTTTTTTTTCACTTTCACCCCCCAACCTCTACTGTTTAACCACATAAATATTACGTATCTCGAGAAAAGAAATACCACTGACCCCCTAATGTTTTTTATCCAGTGCGTCTTGCCCTATATTAGATTAGTGTATTAATTTAATGTATGGGTTATTCGCAGACATTTGAAGGAGCTGGGTTGGATGAGTTCATGGCCGCTAGCTGGGGGGGGGGGGGGTGGGGGGGGAGGGGGATGCTATGGTGTTTATGTGATAACTTTAAAAACAGCTACCTAAACATAATTTTTATTTTGTAAGAGAACAATGGTTAGATCTTTCACGCGTATCAATACTTAAAAGGATCATAAGTTTAGAAGCAAATTAATTAATAAAGACAGGGAAGTAAGTGAAAATTTAGAGTTAATGCCCTTTTCAAGCTTTTATTTAACTTGTATTGGATACCCTTTCTGGATCTCACATTTTATAAGCGGCCGTCAATTTTCTTTATAGTTTTTGTTAAATAGCGGTGTATTATTATAAATTTAAAGAAGTTTCTTCTTTTTAATGAATAGGCCTATATAAAGGTTTATCATTAAAGCGGTTTCTTTTAATTTCATTTTCGTTTTGATATGAGCCAAAAGCAGTGTTTCTTCCAGACTTTTTTCTCCGGGGGGGGGGGGGGGGGGGCATTTGAAATTTTCGGGGGGGGGGCGGTAGACTTTCTTCGGGGGGGGGGGGGGGGGGCGGACACTGATAAAAGTATATATTTTCTATATAAATTATATAAATTTCATTTCGTTCGGGGGAGGGGGCGGTAGAATTTTTTCGGGGAGGGGGGGGGGGGGGCTTCGGCCCCCCGAAGAGATGCCTGGAAGAAACTCTGGCCAAAAGATGAAACAAACTTCGCCTTAAAAAAATATGACCTTTGCAGCATTTTTATAAACAGCAATAAGGCAATACGATTCCTATAGATTAGATTCTAATCTTAAAATCGAATGAAGGATTTTTCATAAGCTGGGCTGAGTATCGGTGTAGATTTCCTTTAGCCTCGGCAAGGAGGTGAGAATTCCCGTATCTATTTTTGTTGATCACGTGACCCAAATTAAAATATCGATGACAACACAGAAGCCAAGATACGCGAGATAGCCGGGGAAAAAAAAAAGAAAACGCTGTCTGATGCAATCAAAACTTTATTGAGCGGGTTCAGATCGTTTTTTTTTTCTTCTTGAAGACAGGGGTAAACAGCAGAGCTATTTGTCTAATATTATTGGAACATGTAGCTCAGGCTTCTTGGTCAGCATTTTCTAGACGGAGGGGGGTTTCAGCTCAGGGGGGTATCGTGTTGATAGGGTGGGGTGCAAGGGAAGTGGGGTGCTGGAGAGAAAGGTGCTAAGGGGTGGTGTGTTGGGGACGATGGAGCTAAGGGGTGGTGTGTTGGGGAGAAGGGAGCTTAGGGGTGGTTTGTTGGGGAGAAGGGTGCTAAGGGGTGGTGTGTTGGGGAGAAGCGTGCTAAGGGGTGGTTTGTTGGGGAGAAGGGTGCTAAGGGGTGGTGTGTTGGGGAGAAGGGTGCTAAGGGGTGGTTTGTTGGGGAGAAGGGAGCTAAGGGGTGGTTTGTTGGGGAGAAGGGTGCTAAGGGGTGGTTTGTTGGGGAGAAGGGTGCTAAGGGGTGGTTTGTTGGGGAGAAGGGAGCTAAGGGGTGGTTTATTGGGGAGAAGGGTGCTATAGGAGGGGTTTGTTAGGTAAAAGCGTGCAACGGAAGTGGGGTGCTAGTGGAGTGGGTACTCGGACAGTGGGGTGCTATATTTTATGCGGAATGTCGCGGTTTTTTTTATCACAAAAACCTAACCGGAGTTTCTTTTAGGCATCCCACCCGCCTTCACAACATACCCATACACTCTTGCCTTTTCGCCCTTTACCTCCACATACACTCCCTTCCCCCACCCCTCCCTCCCTTCCGCCCCACCCCCTCCCACAGTCCCCAGTAAGCCGTCCGCTCATTTCCCGAGCTACATTGGGACTAACGGTTAAAAAAACTTTCAATCTATTGGCGAACTCGACATTACAAAAATAATGGAGGACGTCGAGCATATTGTCTGTCTTTCGCAATCACCCTGCTCCATTAGCTAGAGGGAGGGGTTGTGGTGGGAGGGGATGCGGGGGAGGGGGTGACTTGCTAAGTAAAGAAGTATCTGAAGAGCCGTGGTAATAATGGTATGACGTCATAATTTCCCCCTCTTTACCCCCAATCCCAATATACAACTTGTTTCGTTATTCAATAAAATGTAAAAACGGAGTGGAATTATAAGAGGGGGGGATGTCGCCAGATGTTAGCTATTGCGTGGGGGAGGGGGATGTGTAACGGCTGTGGATGGTGTGTAATGGTGTGGGTGGGGTGCAGCGTTACTGGAGCATGGATCGGCCCTTCCACGCTTGTTACGCCCCCCCACCCCCACCCCCACCGTCATACGCGTGTTCTACTTCCCATGTATTGCCCGTCCCACGCGTGGTCTACCTCCCCTAACCCACCATGTATTACCACTCCCACGGGTTCCCCCCCCCCTCCCACCTTGTATTCCCCTCCCACGCGTGTCTTAACTCCCCCCCCACCATGTATTGCCCGTCCCACGCATATTCTACCTCCCCTATCCCACCATGTATTCCCCTCCCACGCGTGTCTTAACTCCCCCCCCCCATGTATTGCCCGTCCCACGCATATTCTACCTCCCCTATCCCACCATGTATTCCCCTCCCACGCGTGTCTTAACTCCCCCCCCTTAATGTATTGCCCGTCCCACGCATGTTCTACCTCCCCCCCCCACCATGTATTGCCCGTCCCACGCATATTCTACCTCCCCTATCCCACCATGTATTCCCCTCCCACGCGTGTCTTAACTCCCCCCCCATGTATTGCCCGTCCCACGCATATTCTACCTCCCCTATCCCACCATGTATTCCCCTCCCACGCGTGTCTTAACTCCCCCCCCTTAATGTATTGCCCGTCCCACGCATATTCTACCTCCCCCCCCCACCATGTATTGCCCGTCCCACGCATATTCTACCTCCCCTATCCCACCATGTATTCCCCTCCCACGCGTGTCTTAACTCCCCCCCCCCCATGTATTGCCCGTCCCACGCATATTCTACCTCCCCTATCCCACCATGTATTCCCCTCCCACGCGTGTCTTAACTCCCCCCCCTTAATGTATTGCCCGTCCCACGCATGTTCTACCTCCCCCCCCCACCATGTATTGCCCGTCCCACGCATATTCTACCTCCCCCCCCCACCATGTATTGCCCCTCCCACGCGTGGTCTACCTCTCCTAGTCTAGTAAATACCCAACTTCATTCATAGTTAATCACCATCATTTGTTTCTCTATTATTGAGTGCTGTGTTTAAGTGACGGGGCATTAATTATTCTCTTTTCTGCCTCAGGTCACACATAACTTAATGCTTACACACAATAGAACCTTTGTCACGTAAAACATAAAAACAACTTAAATCATTAAACTAATGTCTATTACAAGACCAGGATTTAAGTACCTTGTATCAAGTTCTTCAAAACTTGTGAAATCTGCCTCTTACTAAGTTTTGTTTGGAATTAGTATAGTAATTCTCACATGATTTTATATAGATTCTATTACATTTTTTAAACGGCATTCCTTGGTGTTATGGATAATTCTTTGCTAGAGTTTTGTCCCTTATTTAATAACTTTAGTACAAGGACTGCAAATTTTTGAAGCGTTATAATGTGGATTACAGCCATTCAATTCACCCTCTTTAAAAAAAATTAAATCCGCCGCGATACTGTTAACAAGTTAATCATTGTGCGTAAAAAAAATATACTTAAAAAATGCCTCAGTAATTAGCAGATCTGACGTCAACATAGCAGATAAGGTAGAGTTTATCTGTTGCTTT